CCCCCCCCCCCCCCCCATCCCAGTTCAAAGCTTTGAACGCAGAACTAAGCCTGTTGTGTGATCAAAGTTCAGCTCAGCGTGGCGTTCTCTGGCTCTAACATGAAAAGCCATTAGTGTTGTGAGGCAGAGAGCAGCCTGTGTTGATTAATATCATCATAATCCCCCCCCCCCCCCCCCCCCCCTTCCTTCTAGAGGGGGGATGACTGGAACTAACGGGGGAACTGATACACATTTAATGCTTTAATGATTACAAAGATGGACTTTATTAACTCTAACTGGCTGAACCCTGTGCTCCAGAACACGTATTCATTAACCCGCTGACATCAGAGATGCTGAAGAAGAACCTCTCGGCTCCAGAGAGGCGAGCTGTGCTGTACGCTGCAGCATGCTATTGATCCCCGGCTGTAGCATGTGTCTGCCTCAGCGTATAGTGCCGTTTTAAAGAGAGCCGGTCGCTGCATTATTGAAGGATTATTGAACAAGCCTTAAAGTTAAAGCTGATGACTTGTTTGATCTGGTTATAAGTGACTTGGCTTTGCCGGATCCACATTTAGCTGATGGCTCCTGACTTCAGCTCATCTCGCTGCCTCCTCTCCTCTCTGCCAACTGTCTCTCAGGTAAAGTAACTGTCCATGACGCCTCTCCTCTATGCATACATGTTATACATATGCATATATGGAGAGTGGCAGAGGGAGATGGATGGTTGGAGGCCGGCTGTCGGCTTCAGAGACGGGGCAGAGATCCATAATTTATGGAGGGAAACCCTGCTCCCTGCTTTGCTTGGTAAGTCATGTAAAAGCTTACACTTCATATTTCTCCTCCCGGATATCATACGGAGATAACTTCAGAGGACAGAATTCCTCAAAGCAAAGGATCGTTCTTTGAAATACTTGAGGAAATGTTGCCCAGTCACAGATGAGGAAGTGACTTTAGTGTATTTATGTTCTGTGTCCAGCACCAACATCAAAGGCTCATCTGTTTCTGTTTTGCTGACTTTGTGATTCATCTTCAAGAGTTTTGGGGAAAGGACTGATCGTGGCATTTGGACTTTTTATTATACGTTTTTCACAACTTTAGATCGCGTTGGAAGAAATGTAGGTATTTTGCTTTTAAGTTAAGAAATCTTGAAAAAGTGGAAATGGATAGAATTTAAAGTGACTATCGGTCAGCAGAATTGTGTGTGTGGAGGGGGGGGGTGCAATTTAAGTAAAAGATGATAATACAATTAAAACATCTTTATTAAAAATAGCTGTTCCGTTCTAGCATCTTTTTAGAACATTAACTGTAAATTAAAAGATGAACTAATTATTTTTCAAAACTCTTTTCCAGCTCTGAGTTGTCTGCCTGTGATCTGCACACCGCCCCAACGACCTGCAGCATTGATGTAGGACACAAGTCTCAGGAAGACCTCGAAATCACAAAACATGTTTTTGGCCGTCACTGAAGAATTCATGCGCACGTTATGACAATTTCACACAAATGTCTAACTGGATAAAAGGATGAAGTGTTGGCTTTTTGGTGAGACATGGACGGTGGAGGCAATCATCCTACGCGGTAACCATCGTCATCAACTACGAGGGTGAGCCAAGATGACGACCTCGGAGAGAGAGGGGGGGGGGAGTGTAACGAATGAGAGGTGAGCGAGCCGGGTTGGAGGAGGCCCGGTGGCGTCAGTGGCACGGAGTGGAAAGGGAAATGCAATAAGGTGATGGTGGAACAAGTGAAGACAGAAGAGCTATTTTCAGCTGCGCTGTACTTGTTCCACCATCTGACTGGAGATGTCCAATAAAGGCACAGGCGCTGCGGGACGTCTGGGAGAAAGCTGCAGAGGTGTGAAACATGAAAATGCACTGAGGTGTTTCTGCAAACAGCAGCTTCATCATCATACTAACGGTCAGAACATCGGCTTCTAATTTCAGCAGCGCTGTAGCTTTTGAATGTTACCGGGTACTGTTACTGGAGTCCATGTGTAAGGCATGCATGAGTCATACTCGCATCTCGCTGTCGCACACTCGCAGTAGGGGAGCTCAGTGTGAGGCCCAATAAGAACAGTACGGGGCCTTCTTCTTACCCAGCATTCATCTCTCTCTCTCTCTCCCATCATCACCAGTGTCTCCCTCCGTGCATCTTCAACTTTTTTTTTGTGGTCTATTCTGTTGAACAAAAGGAAATTTTCAAGTGTCAACTTTATTTTATTGTATTTTTTAACGTAAAACCAGCTGCTATGAAAGCTCCCATCCAGCGCTTGTTAATATTGTCAGAGGGTTCCAGTCGGACCTCCCGCCTGCTGCCTCAACCTTTTCAAATGTCACCCTCTGCCTATTAGGCAGAAAACAAACTACCTTTACTGCGAGGGTACAATCTAAAATTAGTGATAACAAATCCCCCGGGTGCACACAATCTCACACGCATACCTGGGCTGATTACCGGCCACGGCCCGCAGGCGGCACACAGCCGCCTCTCGCGCCTGTGTGTCACATTCGTGTACTGTATTTGTGCACGCGCGCATATTGGCAGTTTCATCAGACCTCTTGGCTGAGAGGGTGACGTCATAATCTCATCAGAGCAACACACACAGACAGAGCAGCACTGTTGTCACTGACTCTGTGCCAAAAGTTCATTTTATTATGTTTTAATCCTGCATATTACACTGCGCGTGACGTCAGTGCACAATGTCATCTGTGCCCACCGGCCTGTTCTGTTTGCTTCACATTGTGCCCGCTGCAGCTTATGTAAATACGCAAGCAGCCAATGGCGGGCAGGTTCGTGTCCTCTAATATCTGTTATCGTGGATTTATTGACGTAAAGAACAATGTGTCTCTTTCAAGGTAAACACGCCTCTTTTTCTTGCTTTAACATAAAAGACTCACGAGGTCCTGGTGGAGAGTGCTGGTTGACACGTCACATTTTGATTAATTAAAAATGCATAAAACACACGTGGCCTTGACTCGAGATTGATCAACTGATCAGGATTGATTCGGTTTTTGCTTCGTTACTGCTGCCACCCTCTGGTCACGTGCTCTCACTACAACACTATGGCTTCATTTAAACAATGTGTGAGAGAGACGGAGGATCAAACCTCTGTGGAAGGTTGTTTAAAGGGTGATTCTGCCCGTTAATGTAGGGAAATCACATCAATTAAATCTTATATTTATGATTAATTGATGCAGTTTTCAGTTTTCAGTCCGTGAAATTTCAGAAAATAGTCAAATCTGGAACCAGCGAGTGTTTTTACTTAATAAATTAAACTTTTAATTGACACATTTTAATTTAATTTTCTGTCAGTCGACTCATTTCTTAGTGTACTAATCATTTCCACCCAAGTCAAAACTGACACAGGAGAGGCCAAGACACGCTAACCTTTGCTGCCAAACACTGAGCAAGCTTCCAACCTCTGGAGACTACATTTCCCATGATGCAATAGTAATGAGATCAATAGCAACTTTTTATTAGACCCCTTCCAACCTGGTAAATTACCACTATGACGTCATCAGGGTAATTTTCTAACAAAAGGAAGCCCCCCCCCCCCCCCAGAGCCACGAAGACATGCAACAGTCTCGCACGATGAGTAAAGTCACCTTAAAGTGTAAAATTGATGGACTTACATTTCTGAAAGAACAAGTCTTGTGAGCTCGCTGTAAACATTCACACAAACAAATACTATCTCGTCTTTTAGAGTGACACTCATCTTCCAGCTGCTGCTCTCGTGGTGGCCTCACATTTCAAATAAAGTGGATTAAGTGAGTCGTTGACGGGGAAGTGGTCCGGCTCTGCTGGCCTCTGGACTGTGAGGAGCTGTAATTGTTTGACGGTGTGAACCAGACGTGTAATCCCGTGTCGGTGAGAGGGTTTGTTTACGAGGTAATTACCAGCGGGATTAGCTGCGCCTGGAAGCTGTGAGTATACAGTCGGTGAAGACTCTGCTGTGGAGCCGGAAGAAGAGACAGAGGAGGAGACGAGACATGTTGGACTAAAGGTTCCCTTACTTGCTTGTTGTGGAGCTTTCGACCACATCCCCGGGTCCTCTCAGCTGAAAGATGATGACACAACAGTGGAGGTGTTGAGGAAAGGCCTGTGACTGGGAGCTAAGAGTGTGCACTGAAGCAGTGGCTGCTGTTTTTGTTTTTGTCAGTCCAACCAGGATTATGCTTTTAACTTCCTTCATGAGCCCTTCCTTCACCTCCACCACTTTATGTGAACATGCAGCGAGCATGTTGTCGGGTTTGACTGTGGCAAACTACTGACCACTAGAGACGCACTGAGATTGAAACGTTTTGCCAACACACTGATATTTAGGAGGTTTATACTAAGCTTTTAGGTATTTACTTGGAAGAGTATTCTCAGTTCTTTATTGTTGTTTGGTGTGAAGTGTCTCGGGCCAACCATGATGGGGTTTTTCCAAAGAAGCTTTCCATTTCCTCCTGTTTTTTTCTGGACAGCTGGCAGGACTTGTGCTCTTAAGAAGCATGTTTTGTGGGAGAGATTAGGACGATGTTACATTATGTTTATTGACTTCTGGTTGACTGGTTTCTGGGGAAGTAGGGAGGCACCCTGAGAATGATGAGTCGGCCCACCACAGCCAAGTAGTTCCTGCAGTTTTGGTCTCGCACCTTGTTTGACAAACCTCGTGGAAATTCCATCTGTAAGCTACTCTGTACTGCATTAGCTAATGTATAGTAGCTAACTTCTGCCAGATAGCCAAAAAGCTCAAAAGCTCCTTTCTAACTTGGTAATTACAAGTTGCACAGCGAATACTTCATACATAGTTATGTAGTTCAGGACAGGACGTCAGGTTAGCAAAACTAAAGATTTAAGATGAACAACTGTGAAAGAAAATATCAGATTCTTTGTTATGAAGTTAAGGTCCATCTTGTGTCCATTCTTTCTTTCTGCATTCAGGCAACAAACATCCAATCACAGAGCTCGGAATTCAGTCATGTGAGCAGCAAGCAGTTGATTTTTTATTAATTCATCAACTACAGTACGACATTTCGTTTTATTCACAATGATCAAGCTGTGAAACTGAAACTACTGCTGTGTTTCAGGCCTCTGACTGGCTCCCTCCCCATAGCAAACGCAGCCGAGGCTCATGGGTACTGTAGTATTTCGACCTGTGCTTGGTACCTAATCCAAGAACAAAACAAGACTTCTCAGAAAGAAGAAAACAATGGTGGTCAGAACATAAACATGTGCATCATTGAGGACATCATTTAAAGTCGAATTTGAAGTGGAAGTACAGAATGGGGTGAAACACTTTGGGAACCATTGGTCACCCCCGCTTGGCAACTCTGTTACCGTTACTATTCTCTCTGAACCAATACAGCGATCGAGTTACTTTGTTCTTTGTGTTCCAATAATATCTCTACAAAATATATTTTACACCCCAACATACCCCAGCATGTGTAATGCCATACATGTGCAGAGAATGAGCAGCATGAAGGTGAGCCTCACCCCGTCTCTTCCATATGTCAGCTGCCTTTGAGTTGAATGTACAAAAACACATTAATAATTCAGCTTGAAATGCATTTCTACTAGAACACAAATTATTTCATTTTCCTGTAAAAACCTTCATAAGCAGTTCTGCACCACTGGAGCAGTCCTCCCTGCTTTCAGGCTGTAAGGCCCCGGTTTGCTGCTTTGGCTCCGGACCCTCCAGTGAGCACCGGCTCACCGGTCCAACTTTACAAATCCTTTGCACCCCGTCTGCCACTACGTTGAAATATCACACGACTGGTCGAGCTTTGTTGTGGCAAATAACATCACCTCGAGCTCATTTACCCGTGTCTCTACATCCTGTTTCTCAATCATTCTCACTGCCTTGGAGTGTGAAGAACTAAACTAAATGAATCTACTCCTGTTCTGTTTCACTTCATTATTTATTTACTGCAGCCTCACACTTGATTGACACCGACTATCTAAGCAACAATGTCAAGAGCGCGGCAGCATATTTCTATCTCTACTTGGTAACATAAAACAATGTGAAGCAGATCATTAAGAGAGCTAAATGAGTGGGTATTCATCGTGATGCTGCAGTCTGCACACGGGGGCTCTTTGAAGGATCAAAGTTGTATTCTCGTGGGAACCTAAAGTCTATTTTTTGTTTGTGAGTCAAGCGTGAAGGTGACAGTGCCCGGGGGCTTCCCCCCCCCCCCCCACCGCTCTGCTCTCTGTGCTGCTGGAAAATAAACAGTTCTGTGAATATTCTTATTCTTTTATGTTGAGTTGGTGTGTTGCCGCCAGGTTTATTCGAGCAGTATAGGCCTCGCAGGGTTTTTAGCTAGCGTCTCCAAAATCCTGCTAATCCCCAATTTGCTGAAGGCTGAAATCATAAATAAGATCATTAACAATACCGCTGCGTGTCGTGACAAGAAGTGTGAAAAGCAAAGGAGTCATGGAGCTGAGGTGAGCCTGTAGAACTATCTATCTACCTCTGGTATTAAAGGGATGGTGTGTTTGTGCAGTGCAGTTAATATCCACTAGATGGAGCCACAGTCCATTGATCATGGACTGTGGCTCCAGCAGAGACGGTTCATGTTGTGTTCACTGTCCAGGAACGACTAGAAGCACTTGTAGGCTATAGATTAAATACATTTAACATGAATTTAATTTAAAAAAAATACTGTGTATATGTGAAGGAAATATTTCTTACATGTGTTCTTCTGGTCCAGTTGGGAGAGGGAGTAGTGAAGGTCTGGGGTGACGGCATCTGACGCTCTCTAAGCACTTCATGGTGGTTGGGGTGAAGGTTACTCGGTGATAGTCGTCTAGGCACGGGGCTTTGGTCTTTTTGGGACAATAAAGGGCTTCTTGAAACATACGGGAACTGCAGAATAGAGCAGTGAGAGGTGGAAAATGTCTGTGAGGACATCGGCCGGTTTGGTCTGCAAACAGCTTGAGAGCTCAGTCAGGGATGCCATCAGGTCCAGGTGCCTACGTGGGTTATTCCCTTAGAAGGATCTGTACATGTTTGCACTATACTATTACTTTTTATTTCTTTTTTTCGACATATACTATGACTGTTTTAAACTTTTTTCGACATGCTAAACATTGACATTTTTAGACACACTATATTACGATTTATTTCTTCATATTGTGAAATTGACTTTTTTCGATATACTATACTTTTTTATGCTTTTGAACATACTATTCTATGATTTTTAATGTATTTTTTTCTACATACTATACTATCATTTATTAAAGTGTATATATATAAACAATTTATTTTTTACGGACTCCTGTTTCCGGAAAATAAAGTTTTTTCGACATACTATACATGACTTTGAAATATTTTTTTCTAAATACTGTACTATAACTTGTTCAACATAGAATACCGAACACCATCACACAAATACAAGAGCCACAGCTAGATTCCAAAACAAGTTTTTATTGGCCAATTTACAGAAAGTGCTGCAGTGACCACTCCAAAGAAAAACCGACCAAAGAGTCCAGAGAAAAAAAGGCAAAACTAAAATAAAAAACTTTTACACATTTTACAAGGTTTCCATGTTAATTTCATCATCCTCCTTTTCTAAAACAAACGTCAGGACAACATTAGGGCTCGGGCTGATGCAAAATCCACCAAAGGTTCGGGGGAAGGGGGGGAGGTGACGTCACAAGAACAGGTGTCACAGTAGATGAGGAAAACTCTTAAACAACATATGAGATCTTTACATGAACATAGAGCTACAAAACACATAGACAGTAGGTTCTCCCAGCAGCTACACCCACAGGACGGCTGTCAGAGGCTCACTACGTTAGAGGAGGACACCTTCCAGTGTTTGTGACTTCAGCCATTACACGCGTCGCTACACTCCGTGTTGTTGGTGGATTCCTTGCTATCAAACGTTAGACGGACTGGATTCAGGACGGCCACAGCCACAGATTAACTTTCACTTCAAGGTGAAGAAACCTTCCACTGGGTTTTTCTGATTACGTAAAATGTGATGCTGCCACCTGTTTCTCACTCCCACAATTATGTGATTCTGTTCTGCACCAATTGCTGCTAATAAAGAGGGCTTTAAGTACCACCACATCACCCTAGACCGACATGTCTTTCATTAATGCTGCATTTCATTCAAAGTTAGAAGTTTCTTGCAGGTATAAGGTGTAAAGCATCTGTGCATTCTCATCAGAAATAACTATTAGTATATCGTATTTTGCAACATGGGACAGCATATTTTGTGTCAGTGGTATTTTGCAGCATTAGCTCTTTAAAGTTTAGACTATTGTCATGAAAATGACACAAAGTGTACTTTAGGACATTAAGGACATAAAAGTGACACTCTGTTGCATTTAAAGTGCATGCTTTGGAGTTGTGTTTCTAGTCCAACATTCACTCTCATCTGTCTTGATGGATAAATATTCAGCTCTTTAGCTGCTAAATGTTCCACTCACTCCAGCAGCTAAATGTATCTGTGAGTTATTTGGTGCTCAGCAGCTCAAAGTGGCTTTATTAGAGCTACTGGAATTAAGGTTGATGAGAGAATGAATCAAAAGATTGAAGCGGCGAGTTATAAAAGCAGAAGGAGGTGAAAGACATCAACATGCTGTTTAGAGGTGAAGGATAACTCATTTTACACTTGATCCATTGTTAACATAAAAATATAAGCTTTAATGTCTATTTACTATAGCTCTATATACTAGTGCTTATTAAATAGAATAATCAAAAATAAATAGAGGCTGAATACATATACATACATTTAAATATTTGAGCCTTTAACTGTAATATTTCCTTATATTTTTGTTGTTAGTGTTTTAGTTATATTCTCTATTTTACTATATTACATCTTTGATTTAAAGGATCCTTATAAAAATAAAACCAATGAAAAGAACAGAATAATCACACTGTTTGAATTAAACTAATTATTGGTAGTTATCGGTATTGGCCTCAAAAATCTGGCTCTAATTTGGGTATTTTCATCTATTGACTTTGTCGAGGGACAGGTCCACTGTCGAGGGACAGGTCCACTGTCGAGGGACAGGTCCACTGTCGAGGGACAGGTCCACTGCACGTTTCCTTCTAGAAAGTTGGAATCCACACCTCTGCAATGCAGCATTAATGACTGGTACTGAGATTGTGGTACTAATAGTGTAGCCCCGCTGCTGAACATTTCATTTGGGCATCTCTGATTGTGTGGTTTAGTTTAAACAGTATAAGACAGTTGTCTCCTTCCATGAACGTCTTACCTAGTGCAGCTTTAACTGACCCAGTCACTGTGAAGGCAGTGGCACATCCGTCCTAACAAGCCGATCTCGCTTCCAGCTGGAATGATCTGAACACTGAGCGAGAAACAAACACAGAGGACTGAGGGGTCAGTTCAGTGGAGACTCCTGCAGGCGAAGGGTTCAGGGGATGTACGTACATACAGGATGAGTGTGTGCTGTATACAGGTGGGGAGGACAGTTTCAGGGTGGAGAAAGTGGGGTGTGGGGTGTGGGGCGTGGGATAGGATGGGGTCACCTACTATACTCAATATTTACAAGAGAGGAGCGTACAAAAATTTACAAGGAGACTCCTCCGTTTTTCCCCAAAACCCGGACCACTCGGCTAGTTTACCATGACCACACAGATGGTTGTTCTTCTCTTTTTTGATTACCATTGAAAATATGCTATTTCTGAAAAATCACCTGGCTGTGCCACGTGGGCTAGAACAAAGACTGATACATAACATGAAGTATACAAACCAAGAAAATAGTCCGTTTCTTTCCTTTTGCAACTCAGTTTTCTGAAATAAAGACTGTTTTTGCATTTCCATGGGACATCAGAGATCTCACTGTGGAGCATGTGACACATTAAACTGAATGTACGGTGCAGGGTTTAATCGACAGAATGAGATTCAGAGAACTTTATTTCACTAAAGACTGTAGCTGTGGTGTAGACTGTAATGGGAGAGAGATGCTTTGAGGAAAAACGGCTCTTAGGGGACGCCCTGAATTTGGCGAGCTGTCCCTTTAAGACGAATGAAAGTCATATGATCGACGAGCAGTTTTAGTGTCACGTTATTTATCTTTTATCAGCTGTATAAAACAGGAGGTTTTCTGACCAGGCTAAGGTTAAATCATTGCCTTGTATTTCAGTGGAGTCTTCCAGTAGGGGGCGATATTACCTCATTTTTAGAGCATCGACATCACATAGTCTTTTTGTTTCAACCGTCTGATTTGAGGTTTCAGTATGGACGTGTTGCAGCTTGTGTGCGAGTGTGAGTGACTGTGAATGTGTGTCTCAATAAGATATCGTTGTTTTGTCCCAGTTCTGTCCCTTGTTGCTCGGGCGTTGCATCCTGGGTAGCTGGACGTCCGCTTCGTCTTCGCTGTCGTCTGACTCAGCACTGGTGATGTCATCCTCGTCGTCGTCGTCGTCGTCCTCATCTTCTTCTTCCTCCTCCTCCTCCTCCTCCTCCTCCTCGCTGGCCTCCTCCTCTGCAGCCTGAGGCTCCTTCAGGTTCTATTCAGAGAGTTTAAGAAACTAAATCATCAGAAATTTGTAGTAAAAACGAGAAATGTGAAAGCAGATCATGTGTGTATCTATTTTGTTGTTGTTGTACGTATTACAGTCACTAAAACATGTTTCATAGCCCCTAATTCCCCATACTCCCCTCCCTGACAGCCTCCCCTCCTCCAATCCCCCCCCCCCTCCTACCTCCATCGGGTTGACAGTGATCGTCAGAGCGGAGTCGTCCCAGGTCTCGTCTGCCTCTTTAGCTGTCTCTGCCAGCTTGACCTCCTGCTGGTGGGTCAGGTGGATGCGGTAGATGCCCAGCACCACTACCGTCACCAGAGCAGCGATACACAACACGATTACCACGGTGCCGGCACTTGGCATGGCTGAGAACAAGACAAGAGAACAAGATGGTATGGACCGGTGTTTGTAAGAAGGGGCACTCAACGAGTCCTTCCACATGCAAACATAAATCCCACAAACTGCCCTCTTGTACTCACTTTATTCTTTGGAAATGTTTTGGTCTTAAAGAGATACTACAGACTACATCTTGTATTGCTGTTGACATCGAGGCAGTTGGGGTGCTTGCGAAGCCGATTTACAAGACTAACCAAAAAGGAATGGTCCAACTCAGAGACTCGTACTGTACATCCTGAATTATAGTTCCTGAAAAACAGTGAGCTCAGAATGTCTGAACTCCACACCCCCACACACGTTTACCAGCCGGGATATCGATGAATCACTTTCTTATCTAATGTTGTTGTAGCTGAGGCTATTTTCTCTTCTTTCTCATGTTATCGCACGAGAGGTCTTTTTAAACTTCACCTAAGACGATGCTTGTGATCTTTAATTGTTGTGTCAGCGTATTGATGTTCTCATACTGTAATGCCCTCTCTTTAGGCAACATTGACCTGTTTCCACTGTATTTCTATGCCTCCACTGATCAATGCCTCCTGCTTTAGCCATGCTAGCGGCGCAGCACCAGGCATGGCTATGTCAGTGTGCTTGACTGTCCATCACTTTGCTCCAGACTGAAATATCTCAACAACTATTGATTCACTGCCATGGGATGTTGTTCAGTCTACTCAAGACCGATTGGAATAACTTCCCTCTGACTGTTCATGTAGCACAGTCATCAGGTCAGCACTTTGACATGGGGGGTCATCCACTGATCACATGGTGGGCGGCTCTATCCGCCGGGCCTCCTGTCCACATGCCGAATACATGGCCTCCACATGTCGAGGTGTCCTTGGGCAAGGTTGTGACACCGCCATGAATGTAAAGTGAAGGATATACACACACACATGTGGAAGTGTGTGTGTGGAAATGTGTATGTATCTGGCACTGCGGCTGCAACTGCGCTTCAATCTCTTGAGGTTATCATTGCCTGTTTATGGAGGCAGACGGAGCCGGGCAGCCTTTAGTTGAACAGGAGGGAACAAGGACATCGGTGGGATTTTGGGGTCGTAAGGAGCAGACGACCGGAAATCATTTTTTTTTTTTAAAATAAATTGTGTTTTAGTATAATTTTACGTTTTCTTTATTTGTCTTTTTTGACTCGGTGTGTGTGTGTCAAAGGGGGAATGAGAGGCAAATTGTCAAATTGCGCTTCGGATAAAGGCGCTGTGTAAATGCATTGCATCATTTAAAACCTCACTTCTATCAATACTTTGCTTTATGACCAAAGCTGCAGCTGTGTTTGCCTTAAATGTTTGTAATGTTTATGTAAATCCAAAAATGATTTTTGACTAAATGACCTATTAAGTCATCAGCTAAAGAGAAGTGCAAGAAGAAAAATGCTCCTCATGCTGTTTGCTCCTGATCCTTGCTCTGTATTTCAACTAATGTAAAGACTTATTTGCTTTGAACTTGGCTCAGTGAACTCTCGTGGCTGCCAGTGTGCAACAGAAAGCACGATGACTTGCCTCACGTTTCATCTTTTTGTTGAATCTGTGCCAAAGGCCAAAGACGAATAAGAGCTAAACAAGCAGGAGGAATTGAACTGAGAGCTGTGTGTAAGCTACACAACTTAAACACGTTTCATTAAGGTCCCAGTGCAGCACATGGCTGCAGAGACGTATCATAAGCCTTATTCAGTAGCAGAACCACAACATACATTGAGGGATTTCTCTTGATCTAAAATGTTTCTCTCTTCTGCTCTGATCTCCAGCCGACTGAAATAACACAACTTCTCTGTAAATACCCTCCCTCCGCTAGTCCCTGCTGGTGTGTGTGTTTAACGAGAGTGAGACTCACAGAGGACTCTTCAGATGATCATTGGATTCACTAGTTCCCTAGATTTTCACACTAAATACGCGGCCTTCGATCTTCCTCTCAGCGAAGCTTCATGCAGCCCCTTTTAGGGTAACTTGGAGTGTTTGCACATGTGAGTACACACACACACCCTGACGTTTCCCTTTGACTTTGTACTCTACATATAGTATGATATCATCTGAAACACTCACATGCGCTATACATGCCATGGCTGAAACTACAAGTCTTCTTTCTTATTTGTAGTTTTTGCCTTACATTTACTTGCAAACCTTCCATCACCCTCGCCGCTCCTCTGACCTCCTTTTCACACACACACACACACACACACACACACACACACACACACACTCCCAACTCTCTGGGCTGTTAACAGCATTGGCCACTGAACTCTCCAGGACTCTAAGTAGAATCCATTAGAGTGTGATGAATAATTAAATGTGGTGTGGTAGATTAAGACCAATGTCTCTCCTCCTCACCATGTTCTCTTTACTTCAGATCACTCATATGCGCAGAGGGAGGGGAATACGCTTGCTGCATCATTTGAAGGAGTCCCTTTACGCTGCTGCTCTCCATCACGGAGCACCGCTGTGTGAGTGCAGCAGTCAGATGAGCAGAACGATAAACAAACTAGAGAGCGAAACCGAATGTTCCCTTGGATCTAGCCATGTTTACCCCGGGATGGATCGCTAACATGAAAACCCTCAGTCAGTTTTTTTCTTCTTTTTACAGCTGTTGCTCAGCCGCCAAAGTCATCGCCTACATTTTGTCGCATTTATATTTCCCCAGAAGTGTGTCAACACAGGTAGCGCTGTCACACCTCTTAAACCTTCAGGTAACATACATTTACATCACAGCTAATGGTGTCCCATTACGGTTCTTTAGCGCTTGCTCACACAATAAAAGTGTATGCTTGGACACAAAGCATCAAAACCTTAACTTTTGTATCCATGCCTTAAACAAAGGCACCCAAAGTACAAACAAGTTTGTAATTCTGCAACAGACTTGCAATCAATTCACACTTGTTTCTTACATCAGGCAGACACTTTCGAGATTGAAATATCTTGCAATCGTTCACAAGACACTTCTATTCAAGATGATGAACACACCTTAGATTGGCAACACTCACACACACACACACACACACACACACACACACACACACACACACACACACACACACACACAATCAGTCTGAGGCTCAGGAACAGACCTCAGGACTTTGCAATCGTGGAGGCGGTGAGAGCGCGAGGAAGAGTGCTTGTGGATGAGTTGAGTTGGCAAGACCCTAACAGAAGGCAGGATCCGAAAAACATCCACCATCCCTTACAATGCTATACTTTTCTAATTAATTTGTTTCTGTCATTTTTGAAAAAAGAGACGTTTTATGTCTTATATGGCTTGTGTGCAGAGTTTTGACACGATGAAACAACTTTCGTAACAAATGTGAAAGCAATCACAATAAAACCGACCTGTAATACCTCATGTTTTGACCAAAGTTCTGGATTTTCTTGAATTAAAATATCACTCACTCAATCCACCATCAGCCTGTGACACTGTGGAAACTTGCTGAGTGGCATTTGAGTGCCGCTGCTCTTGTTAAAAATGGCTACCGTACCCCATTGTAGCTCGGCTGGTATCTCAGTGTAACGTTGTGTGATGTGACCCGACAGGATGGGACATTAATATGCCATATAAAGAACAGACAGAATGAATCTAATCTCTTTGTGTCCTTACCTGAGCCGTGGCTGGGGTACAGGTCTTGAATCATGGACGGATGGTGGATCACCTGCATGTACTGAGGCGGGGCTACCATGTGATTGACATGCTCCCTTGCTTCCGCACTGTGAAGAGCGCTCACCTGGTTGGGAACAGATGAAGCAGAAGGGATGGTTTTAGATAAAAGTAATCCCAGTGGACAGTTTTACATTCCTGTCCATTCGGTCCCAATGCCTCCCACCTGTAGGCCTAGACTTGCCTTGGTTCATCCAGATGATTTATTGTGGACGAGAGGAAAAGTAAAGATTTACGTGCGAGGCGAGGAGAAATGTGAATGCAATGCATTGAATTTATGCCTTTTGGGGGGGACAGGGTCAGCTCAATACAGGAAATGAAATGTAAACTAGATTCATCAACAGCCTCCAAGGTTTAAACTAGTGAAACAGAGAATAAATGAATAAGTCAAACTACGTTCACAATCAGGGAAGGAAACAAACAGCGGTCGGCTGACACATCGAGCTGATTTTGGCACATCATCATGTAAGAACATTGCGTAAGAGGTGTGTGCGTGTGTGTGTGAATATGTCTGCCTGCCAAAGAAGCCGGATTCGCTGTAGAGCAGTTCAAGGTCTCTGAAGGAAGTGTTCAGTGCTGCATTGTGCCTTCTTTTCATATGTTGAACCATGTCAGTGTGTCTAGCTGCTTTTAACTGAACATGAGGATGGTTGGAAGTAAAAAATCAGATTGTTCCTAAAAGAAAAAGTTTTTGGCATGAATTCCATTTGAGTTGAATTCATTTGTTTGTCTACATATTTCTTTAGTAACCTGTGGAACTTGTCATATTCCAGTTGCTGTTTTTCAAAAGATGTTTTTTGCCACTAAGGGTGAAAGTAATGCTGCTTTTTAAATGTGCTCTCAAAGTGACACCTGAGCCGAGTCAGCACTTTCAAACTATTTGGTCCAGCTGGTCCATTGTCTCAATAGTGATAACTTGCCATTACTATTTCTGACTATCATTGTCATTAGTCAGTTGTTTCTTTTTTGCAAATATGTGCCACGTCCTCTGTGATGTCAGAGCTGCTCGTCAGCCCTCGGGGCATTTCTTCCCAGCCACTCCTGCAGGTACTGTATCTTAATGCATAAGTGGGTGACTTGGATCTGACATTTTAATTTCCACCCATAAGCTGACTCCACTGCTTAATGCAGCTCACTCAAGACAACTGCATTAAGACAAATTATGTTGGTCCATAGAAATATTAATGGGGACATAAAATGCTCATTTTCAGGTTCATACTTGTACTTTGGGTTTCTATAGAACATGTTTGCATGTTTAATATTTAAAAAAAAAACCATTATCTTTCTCATACTGTCTCTCTGAATATACCTGTGTTAACCCTCTGTTTAAAATGCTCTATTTTATCTGCTGTCTCTTTCAACTTCCCTGCCAAAAAAAGACTCAAATAATAAATAAAGAACAGCAGTTAAGCCTCGCATTTCTGAAGTTTGTGAATCAGTGAATGCTTGAGAGAGATGAAAGTTATTAATCAGTCCACATCTGTCCAGCTGAAGTTCCCACTGACCTCCAGGTTGAATTCATTGCTGGTGTAGCGTCCATTGAGCTCCGAGCAGGTGAGGCGGAACCTTCTGTCCGTCAGTTGTCCGGGTCGCCAACTATAGTAACGCACCTGTCGGATCACCTGTTCATAGTTGGACATGGAGTCCACACCTGTGGGAAGAGGCAGCAGGCGGCTGTTATGGGAGTCACTTGTCGAGAGAGATCAGGGGGAAGTTGTGAATCTATGGAAGTGTCAAAGGGCGAGTTGTTGTGGTTACCATATTAACCTACCATATATGGAAATGCCAGAGGTGGAGTTAGTGGCGTCGAGGTGTTTTCCGAGCAGAGCGCTGCGCTGCAGTTGGAGGGACTCCTGCTCCGACCTCAGCTCCTCCCCCAACACCAGGATATCACAGTAGTCCAAGTTATGGATAATCTCCTCCTGCACCCCGGGTCGACGTGCTGCGCGCGCGAGCACACACACACACACACACACACACACAATCCGATGCTCATAACAGAGAACTACCAGAGAATATCAGCACACGTTTGCCCTCACCTCGTGTTGCTATTCTAGACTTTTCAAACTGCTTGAAATAAAACTTAAATTTGAGGCCATTTTTTTATTTTTGGTTGAGAATATGTTCTCACTCACTAATAAACTGCAGTTTTCTTGGAAGCACATTTGTTATGCACCTCAGTGTGGTTACTTAAGTCCTCCTCTCACTAACTAAAGCCCTATTCTATTCTCACAGGACGTGTATTACCTGGAGACCTCTTGTAAACTGTAATAATTACAGAGGTTGTCTGTGATCTTAATCCCGTGCAAATCTACCATGTCTGTAATCTGTTGCAAATTACCTCAAATTTCTAATCACATTAGTTACCCTGGTAATTTTTTTATTTTCATTTTATGTAACCTTTATTTAACTAAAATAATCCCATTGAGGTTTAAAATCTCGTTGGCCAGGACGGCAGTGTGAAAGAATACCCGGGGACCTCTAGTGATGTATAATAATTGCAGAGGTTGTCTGTGAGCTCTTCATCAGTAAATTACACGAGGTCTCCTGGTAATGCTAGTCCCGTGGGAATAGGGCTTTAAAAGCAAAACAGCACATAGATACATTAAAAACTCACATAAAAGAGACGACAGACCTAAAATAAACCAGCAACTTGCATCAACCAAAGGACACACGGCAGTCTAATTGCTGTTGCCATGACAAAACATTTTCTTGGAGACAACCCTGAACAGTTTGAAGGACCGTGATTCAAACAGTACCGGACACAACACGCCTGCACCCGCACTCCAATTATTCACCGACTCTCTGCAGACAGACTGAGCTGTGAGCTGCTGCGGTAACAAGTCCCCTCAGACAGCTCCCATCACAGCGGTGCTGGGTGGCTGCTGGGGCTCTTTGACAGTTTGCTAAGCACTAGCCTCCACCTCTCACCGCTGCTGCTGCCCAGCCTTCTCCTTCACTGTACAGTCCCTGGGGAGGGAACCGGCGATGCCCATTTAACAGCTTTCACCAATGGAGAAAGACAAATATGTGGTTTATGTGTCAGTTTGGTTTTGGGGTTGTTGCTTTCAGTGAAAAGAGAATTACCATCGCCTGTGTGAAGTGTGACGACACAGCCTAAATCTAAAAGCAGGATAAAAGGATCGTTGGTGGAGCTGAGGGATCCTGGATGATGCAGCGGAAGTGGCCACGCCCTCAATTATGACTCACGTTAAGCCCTAATATGATATATCGGGGGAAGATACATAAAGATTTACCCCCCGAACCGTTGTTATATTAGCTAGACCAAAGCCGTTTATTCGTACCAGCCTATAAATGTTTATTTCTGCTGTAAAGTTTTAACATGGGGGTCCATTGAGACTGACTCGCTTGTGGAGCTTATAAGTGGAGTCATAAGAGTCATAAGTGGACATTTATAGAACTGCAGTTTTTGGCACTTCCTTGTTGGATTCATGTCTCAGTGCAGAGAATGCACCTTGGGAATTACAGGGAACACTTCAATGGGGCTTTACGCGTCTTTTTAGCCTCTGTTACCTCATTGTTTTGGTTGAGTGGCTAACAGGTTCTACACTGCAGCAGGCAGATGTTTCCCAATCCGATTGTATAGAAGTCTATGAGAAAATGACTCTACTTCTCTCTTGATTTATTACCTCAGTAAACATTGTAAACATGAGTTTATGGTCTCAATCTCTAGTTTCAAGTCTTCTTCAATACAGCATGATGTTCATTTAGTACATTATGGTCCATTTAGAGTCAAACAGACCATAAAGCAGGGGATGCTTTAGGGCGGGGCTGCTGTGATTGACAGGTTGCTGCTGCTACCAGAGCCGTGTACGGCGTCTCTACGTCACTCCTCCACATTTCAGATATGGTAACTTCCGTTCACTGGTTGCAAAAAAAACCAACATGGCAACAGCCGTATTCCAAGATGGCGACAGTGAACTTGAGGCTTCACAACGGCATTCCACAAACCAACTAGTGACGTCATGATGATTACGTCCACTTCTTATATACAGTCTACAGCCATTATTCAGTTATAATGTCTGGTGGGCAAGTTGCCCTGCTTGGTGTTAAATTCTACTTTGACATGAAGGGAGAAAAGGTAGAGTAGTGCTGGAAGAATCTAATAGTACACCTAAATGTAGGACTGTCCCAGGAACAGGTCTGTGTGCAGCCTGATCTCAGAGCTATAGTGTGGGTGGGATGAAAAAAGTGATGGGCTCCCGAAAAATAACTACTCAGAAAAGAGACTGAGAGAGCTGCTGAAATGGGGGCTAAAGAAAAAATCTCGAGAGCAAAGCAGAAGAGGAGAAACAGAACAGAAACAAATGACCATTGAAGCAAATGGGTCAACAACAGTTGAGCTTTTATGATGAGTTCAAAGAGAGAATTGATGACGTTGACTTTGAGTAAAGGCGTCGGTGTGAGCCTTGGAAGGATGCTGTATCATGAGATGGATAGAGGAACAAGGCAATGCTGAGCAGGCTCAATAAGAAGACGGATGTCAGAGAGAGACAAAGCGTAGACGAGGGCGAGGGGCTGATTAACAGGGTCCAACAGAAACGTACTGCCTGCCCTGAAAAAGAAATATGTGATTTATCTGGAATCCTTTAACCCCCGAGAGAACACAATATCTGTTCATTATGGAACTTCATCGTGCCTCCCTCTCCCACACACACACACACACTCTCTCTCTCCTCATCTCTCTTCTCCCTTTCTTTCCATTTCTGTGTCTTTCTGTGGCTTCCAGCTAATCTCTTCCCCCCAGCTGCAGTCTCTATTTCACCAGGAGAAAGAGCTCCACCGACTCCTGAAAGCAATGCCACTTTCTGCACTGCAATGGAGGGCTAAAACCTCCCGCCTCGCTCTGCTTATCTGCTCTTAATTGGCTGCGAGCGGCGGGGGGCCCCGGGGCCGGGCCGGGCTGAGCCGGGTTTGTTCCCCGCCTCGGTGGTCAGATCATTGGACGAGGCTTGAGCCCCTCAGGATTTAAATGTCATACTCATTTGGCCCCGGTCAAGGCGGAGCAACCCTGAGCCGAGAATCAGTCTGGTGGTAGGTGGAAGTCTTACTCAGCATGAGGGGAGGGTGTGTGTGTGTGTGTGTGTGTGTGTGTGGGGGGGGGTCTGAAGTCACGTAGGAACAGATAGGAGAGTGGAGGGACTCTGCAGCAGGAAATTGAGTCAACACATTGGCAAGGCTGCGTGGAACAGAAGGCTCCTGCTCACACTGTAGATTACTGCTGGCAGGAAGGGGCACATGTCCTCAACGGGGGTGTTACATATAGCTGTCTGTGCAAACCACATTCACTCAAGGATTGCTATGCTTTCATTAGATGCTACTTTCCTGCTCTACTCCAATACGTTTTAAAGGGAATGAACTTCAGTTATATGAAAGCTACAGTCACTTATTAAGATATACGTACATGTGGGTAAAAAAAAGATTCATTGTTAAAGATTTAATTGCCCAACTGTGTACAAAGTATGCAAACTAAATAATGAATGTACTGCTTACTTATTTATTTATAACAATCTTTAATAATGTAACCCTGACAGGAGTTATTCTGCTGCATCTTGAGTAGTTTCTCTTTAATACTTACGTGCATTTTGCCAAACTTACTTCTGTGCTCCTTATCCAGTGTCCTGGTGTAAATTGTTCAGTTGTTAGATGCCATTTCATTTTCACGGATATTATATCGGAACTGGATACCGAAGTCTGAGACGGTGCCCATTCGCTCGAGCGAAAATTACGCACAAGAGATTGTGTTTGCACTTGGATGTGTTCTTTAATCAGTTTTACAGAAGCCTTTTATAACGCTGGTCTACAGGGACATTTCTTTTCTTTAGGGCGACTAGCTCCATTGGCCGTCACACGAACGCCCAATGGAAGACTAGCTGGTGCGTCGTATGTAGCTAGCAGACTGCGTCATGGGTCAGATGTGTGCATTCAGATCTCAGTCAGCAGAGCCTTTCTTTGCAGTTATTAATGTGGTTTGGGTCTCGTTCATTGACTGATATGTTATTACCAGCTGAGGAATGTGTGGGTGGAGGCCGACAGCACTCTACATCTTCATACTGTGAGGGGCCGCTGTATTTACTAAGCAACACTCAGTTTTGGGCGATCCGATCATTTAACAGCCCACATAATCTATTTGAAATATTCGGATATACATCACACTACAGGAGATAATGTGATTTTAAGTAAGATATTATTGTATTGTACTACGTGTGTTCATACTTTAAAGTGAGGATCTGAATACTTTCATGCTTGTGAACTGCACAGACTCACTAGTAACTGCTTTAGTTGCATTTCAATAACCTTTACTTCCACCCAGCAAGAGAATCTGGCAGCATGAGACCAAAAAGCACAACTTTTCTTTTCTTTAGTTTGCGGCATGCGTGCAGACGTACCAGATGAAAGAAATACTTGCTGCTGCTGCTGATTGGCAGTCTCATGAGGTGCGATGTTCAGGTTTTCTCTTAAGGTTTGTTTTGAAGGGGAGACAGGTGGCGCTGCACGGCTATGGGACCTCATGAATGAGTGAAAACATTATCAATATGAAATCCTGCTGAAATATTTAACCAGGACAGATTTCTACCTGCAGGGAGGTATCTGTCTCCGACTTTGTGTGGTACACTCAGACTTGTAGGCTACCTTTTGGAGTTTGTTATTGTCCCTGGGAGTGTTCCCTGCAGAAGTACACATGTAAGGTAGTAATCCCTCACTGGCTTCCCACCTACTGCTTATAGGTTCAAAGGGTTGCAAATTGCTCTCACCAGCAACATTTTTAGAGCTGAATAAGTCGATACAGATTTTCTTTCACCTGCTTTGAGTATGACAATCCCTGCATCTTTGAACGAACGGGTAGCACAGAGGTTACCACCGTGTGTGATAGTCCGTACCTGTGTGATGTGTTGTGGCGTCTGCTCTGGTGACTGTGCTGATGAGGTGGAGGTCCTTGAACAGAGCTGTGCCTCCCGGCACCCTGAAGTCGGAGGCGGGCCGATTCAGTCTCTCCACTCCGGTGATGGTTATCCTGGGCTCACTAGGCTGCAGCACCATCACCACCGCATCAATGTCTGGGATGGTGATACAAGTGTCTTCACCAAAACACCTGGAGGGGAAGAAAAGGCAGAGGAGTTAGAGCTGGAGACGAGCTCGCGGTCTGGTGTTCGTTATTATTAGCTGTGTTCAGCCAGGACGTGGAGATATTTCATGATGTATCAAAACAGTTCCAGCAGCAACTCCCCGTTAAACCACACATTGTTGTTTTCACAATTCGCTTTTTGTACAGATTACAAAAAACAAGCCAGGCTACCTGCTATCCCACTGTTGCACATCTTTATGCTAAGCTAAGCTAATCACCTGCTCTGACAGCTGCGTATACAGCTTACATGTATGAGTAGTATCAACCTCCTGATCCAACTCTCGTTAAGAAAGCATATTGAATCTTTTAATCTGTACTACTTATGACCTGCAAAGGCTTCAGAAGATGTTGTTACTTTGTTCATAGAAAAAGGAATGTTACTGAAAAAGTCGTACAGTTTTACTTTTACTTCTACTCCAGAAGAACTAATTCATGGTAATACCGTCTTCTTTCTCATATGCTAATTAGCAGCTGCACCCTCTTCTTAAGAACCCAAATTAAGTTCATTTCTCCTTATGTAGGTCACTCCTGGAAATAAAGGTGCTAACTAAAAGTCTTTCCTCCAAAAAGGGTTCTTATTGTAACTCGTAGTCAGACAAAGAACCCTTGAAAAACCCTTTCTTCAAAAAACAGCTTTTCAGAAGCAAATGGTTGTGGGTAGAGCCTCAGCTCTTCAGGATGAACCCGTTTGGAACCCTTATTTCTGTGTTATAATTACACTGAGATGGCAAAATGATTTTCTTCATCGGTGACTATTACTGGAACCTTTCACAACACCATGACATTGCCTGCAATCTTCCACGCACACTGTGTCTCCCATGTTGTCCTTTGTGAGCGTCGCCAAGTGCGTTTCTCTATTTTCATCATTATTTCACTCAACATGGCTGAACCCCGTAGAGGTCCAGTTGACACACAGCAGCAAAGGGTGACAGAGGGCACAGAGGAGCTCTCTGTGAAAACACAATTAAATAGCTCCATCCCTAAGTAACAAGTAGACGCATCAGAATGTGAAACGGTGGAGCATACAGCAGCTCATAAAGCTTATCAATACCAGCAGGAAGTGCTGCACTAAAAGCCTGATAGACCCAGGGCACAGAGCTCTGACCATGCTCAGGCAGAGGCACCAACCTGCAGCAGAGACCTCGCTGTGTTTTCATACTTGCACGCCTGCTTCCCTGCCTCCCTGTCAGCGTGTGCTAGCATGTGTTTAAATGCACAGCATCCACTGGCAACCTTTAAGAGACGGACAGGTATCGGCTCTGCAGGACTCGAGCTAGCAACACGGCCACAGGGGGGGGGGAGCAGACACAAACAGAATGGCCGTACTCACACAAATGAGCGCAGACATCTAACTCGCAAACCATTCCGATGCATTGGCGGACACACACACATACACACGGGAGCGGAGAGATTGCAGATTACACATCAATCAAATGGAAAACAAGAGATACTAAAATGAGAAAAAGGACAGAGGGAGGGAGGGAGGGAGAGAGAAGGGGAGGGTATTGAGGGTGGTGATAGTGTAAGCCGTGAAAGCTGAACAAACAACCTGATTTTTGTTTTTACATTTCATCGAAGGCCTTTCAAGCACACAAACATCTGTCAGTGGGAGGCACATCAATGCTTTGGCTCCCTTCTGTAGCTCAGTAACCAGCTACAGCGAGACATCATAACAAGCTTATTCCCTGCATTGGAAACCTGGGCTATGAGATTTCAGCTGTGATGCATTCTGTATTCTTCACCCTCACATTCTGACGTAAACTATGCAGCAATGTATAAATCCATAAGATGAATTCATATATTTTTAGCTGGGCAGTTTTATATGGATTTCTATGGAAAGAAATAATGAAAGGAAACGGCAGTAAAAAAGGGTTTGGCTGGATGTCAAAGCAAAACATGTGAAAAGTGTCTTTGGATACTGGATGTGTACGATATATATGCTCAGCATGACTTATTATTCACGATGTCTCATTCAGAGAACTTGTATGTATGTGGGTTGTATGTGCCGGCGGTATTTTTGAGAATAGGCGAGGAAGGCAGTGGTCAAGGATGCCAACAGCTGGAGGGGCTCCGAGGTTGAGGGTGGTTAAATTTAGGGCAATGTGCATTGCCACAGCACTAAGTCCACCAATACAACAGCACTGAGTCATTTAACAACGTTATTTATACCCACAACTCTGTTGCTCTCTGTTGCTCTATTGTTTTTACAGTAATGTATACACGAATTCTACTGGTCAGTTCTTTCTTCCTTCTACTGATCTGAGCTACCATCAGTGAAACCTCCTGATGATGTCTCACATTAAAAGCTATAAAGGGAACGTTCTGGAGGAAGTGTTGAGTTGCAATCGCGAAGCTTAATGTATGACTCTCAGCTGGAGAGTGGTTTGCCTGAACCCTCTTATCACGCTGCGCTACAGTCCCGTCAAGTCACACCCTCGTTCAGGCCTTCACTGCCCCCTGATAGACACTCAACAGTCTACTCTATAGTTAGCAGTAAATTGAGATTTCGAGGGGCACTGATTGGAGGGCAAATAGTGCATAAATTTGACAGTCATATACTGTAAAATGGGGATGTTGCAGGGAGTTATTTCGGAACACAATCGAACTGAAACTGCTGGCTGCCACTTATATTGTGAGGCTGTCGTTCATTCAGCTGATGCCTAACAGAAAAAGAGGGGAACCATTGATATAATGTACAGAAACTCAACAGTCCAGAAATGACAGCGACTGGGACCTGAATGTTATAGAGATATAAATAGAGCGCTGCAGCGGTGACGTATTTCTGTAGAACAACCAGGAAGTTAGCATCGCACTGGTTCCCTCGTCAATTTTAGGTTATTGCAGAAACATTTAGAATACTTACATGTCTTGCTCAGCAAGATAACATTTATGATATTTGATATGTTAGGCTTTAAAGGAACGACACCACGGTCACATGACTTCCCGTCACCACCACTAAGCTAAAGGCAGACTGGTGTTTGTCATGATGACGTTCAGCAGTCTCATTAGAAAGACACGTGGACAGTGGAGCATTTACTTTAACTTGTGTTAACGTCAGACCTTATTTCAGGCATTGAACCACAATACCATGAAAAACACAAACAAACAAACAATGACTTGGAACCGGAATTGCAAATAGCACAAAGCAGAACTTGTGAAAAGCTGGAATAATAAGTTAATACATTTATTATGAACATTACAGCAGATCACCAAACCGTCCCAGGGTGCAGCCACTGGCCGACGTATTACATTTCTTTGTTCATCGTAAACTTATAGTGACAGTTTCTTGAAAGACCTGACTAGTTCTACATGTAGGAAGCTTACTAACCAGCTTTAACTCAACCAATGGAAAAGAGCTATAATTCACTTTTCGTTTTTTGAAATAATAATAACAAAGAATCCTTCCAATTTGGCCTCACAGCTGGATGGAAACTTAACTATTGTCTCTAATCCTCCACAGTCAGTTGTCTGAGGCCACAGTCTGAGACAAAAGCATGTTTCGGGGCATCGTGTAATCTCTCCTTATCTTTCCTGCGGCCGCAGCCGGTGCCATGTGTGTCTGTTCGCTGCTCGGGCACTAAGCCATTGTTGTGAGCAGTGGGAGATACAAAGTCAGTGATGCAGGGAGACGAATGCTGCGTGGGCCCACCGAGCTGAGACAAAAGAACAACAACTGGCGCCAGTCCAACTTAATTATAAAGAAATATGACAAGGGAGCCTAAAAGGGCTGCTACAAAGATTAGCGCCCGCTCCTTTTATTTTCTTGATGCCTACAGTAATTGCAGTTATTAGTCGTCAGCACGGAGGAAATTTAATCGCATTTTAAATGAATTAACATCTCTGTTTGTTTGCGAGGAGTGATAATGTCTGGGGCAGTTGGGGGGGGGGGGGTTTCGGCACTTGCTGAGGTGTTACGGCGGGAGGCAGCGTTTCAGGCTCGCGAGTGAAAATAACTCGGTTGAAGTGAATCTTTTCTGCTGGTGTGTGTTCTGGACGGAGTACTAAAACAACAAATTGGAAGTTAAATCACCCGTGTTATCAACGAGACCCTGCACTTCCCCAGAAGTTCCACTTTGGTTACACACACACACACACACACACACACACTCTCTCTCTGTGGTCATAAGCAAAGCAATGCTTGTTTTTCTTTACTCAATAGAGGTGTAACTCACAGGTCACTTTATTATTGTTTATTCATTTAAAAGATGTGGAGATATAATACAGAAAAGACCTTGTACTGTAACAGCTCTGGTGTAAAAACAATAATCTGAACACTTGCATGTAGAATACAGGTCCCTAAAAAGGGATTATATTTACCCTGTTCATCACACATTTCACTTCTCCATCATGAGCGCAAAGAGCCATAAATATCATGTGCAATGTTACAGACCTTTGTGAATGTTTCTTGTTAAATCCAATCATTTTATAAGTGTACAGATTTCCTGACCCTGCACCTGAGTTAATATGCAGCGATACTATATTTCACTCTATGTATATATGCTGGTTCATATCTATTCTATAAACATAATCTCTAAAACACTCACCATGATAAAAAAAAATGAATCAGTTTGTCCCAAAGACAAAATAACAGAGGAGTCCAGCCGGGTTGTTTTTTAAGATTGTCGCTGTTTGTTTAATTGTGTTCTCGGTGCCCGCAGTAATTGCTCTTACTAGGCGTCAGCAAGAAAGTTTAATTGCATCGGCAGGAAATATTTAACATCATCTCGCATTTGTGAGGAGCGATACTGGGGAGTTTATTCAGTGTTGTGGCAGGAGGCCATGTTTCAGGCTCTCAGCGTAACTAACTTAGATGAGGAGAATTTATTTATTTTTTCCTACTGGTGTCTCATCTGGATGTGAGCATAAACATAAAGCTGAAATACACCTCATCAGTGAGTCTCCACACATGCTTTAGAATGGACGCCCTCTCGCACATTTGCCACACATATCCGCAAGTAGTGTACACACACACACACACACACACACACACACACGCACACTCAGACATGCACACACAGCTAGCAGACCAGTCAGCAGTCTGCGAGGAAAAGCTAAATTTACACAACATTTAGCAATGACGCAAGCTTAGCCGTCATTAACATAATGTATTCCCTGATAATCGGTGAGCCTCTGGCTGAGATGACTCTGCTTCATCAGCGCACACACCAACATGTACAAACACACGCTCACTTCTGCCGTGTTGGTTGAGGCTCACAGGCCCGCGGCCGTGCATCGAACCCAACAGGAGGGCGGAGAGTCAACTCCCGGGGCTGCGCTGCAGGGGTCTACATATATTTAAAACAATCATGAATTTTAATGGTAACCCGCCAAGGGAGTCTCTCTCTCTCTCTCTCTCTCTCTCTCTCTCTCTCTGTTTTTCTATCTCTCTTTCGCTCGTTCCTCTGGCAAAACCCAGAAAGAATTATTAAAACATGACATGAAAATGTAAAAAGTGGCCTCAGTGGCGACAGTGAACAGAAAATGGTGTATTAAAGGGAAAAGAAAGTGACAGCAGAGGAAAGGAGAAACACAGAGAGTGAGAGAGAGAGAGAGAGAGAGAGAGAGAGAGAGAGAGAGAGAGAGAGAGAGAGAGAGAGAGGTTGGGATCAATGCATGAGAAGGTAATTACGTATCAGTGTGATATCTACTGTGCTGTCTTAATACTAAACAGAAGATGTCAATGTGCGTTTCCTCATATCTGGGAGAGGAGATACAGAGAAACCGAGACGATGTGAGATCAAACAAATGTAGGATTGTAGATAAAAAGTTAAAAAAAACAAGAAATAAAGAAAAAGACAACGAAAACAAAGGAAGAGGAAAAGACGTGTTGTACATACTGGACGGCAGTGGAGATGTGCAGACGTCGGATGCCTGATGTGGGAAATTGACGAGAGTTTATGTAGGAAACTTTCCTCACAGCAGCGTTCACCTTTTCCAAGTCCTCTCCCTCCATTACCAAGATGGACTGAGCCGGGTTGAAGTGGAACTACAGAAAGAGAGAAACAGAGATGTTAGATGGATAGAGACCAGAGACATTTTTAGCTGCACTCAGTCACTTCCATACGAGATGCTGAAGATATGTCTGGTATGGAAAAAGAAAGAAAGACAAAGTGACTCTCAGAAGAGACAGGGCATGGACAGATTGACCTGCAGCTTTAATGTGTCATCCATCCATCACAATACCTACAATTCAAGTGGTAAAGACATCAGGATTCACTTATTTGGGCTGTGTAATAGGTCCAAAGCATGTACTAGTGACTTTGATTTTATACCTTGCTTGAATCAGGTAATCCATCAAAGTGAGCATCGTGTTTTTATACTGCTTTACCATGAAACAGCAAGGTCACTTTGAAAACAACAGATGTGATATTCACTGTGATGGATCACCTATTTGAAGGGATAGTCGCAGGCCTTCGCAAATAGATTTTCATACTGTATGCAGAAATCAATGGACACCGGTGGCTGCATAGACGCCAGGAAGGGAACTAGTAGTGCAATAGTAAAAGGAATGTTGGTGAACTTTGTTGTAAACGGTCGAAAAACACTGATATGACCCTTTAAGTCAAGAGGCTAGAAAATACTGGGCGGACTCTCCTCACAGGTGCAGTTTGACAGGGGTGTGTGTGTGTGGGTGTGTGTGTGTGTGTGTGTGTTCTCCTGCTGGGTTTGATGGTAGGGATTCGAGGTCCTTCTAACTTTAAAGAGGGTTTAGTGGCCCACTGCTGGAACCGCACTGAGTGTCTCCCATTTCCTAAAGCTGTCTCTCAGCAGCAGGGTGACAGTACTTCAGCACCCCATGGGGAGCTCTCCATGCGCTCCCTCTCCCCTGTCATTTCCCCGACTTCACACCTTCCCTTCCCTCTCGCCGTCTCCTCTCATCTCTTGTTCTCTGTCACTATACTTGCCGTCTGTCTGCCTCAACCTCCCTCCCTTCCCTTCCCTTCCCTCCCTTGTTATTCTCCTCTGACTGTGCTGCGCCGGCCCTGCAACCGCTCGGCTAAATGCCGTCCTTAAGCCTCCCGTGGACTTATGGGAGCCAGACGAGCGTGCGGCTAAGAAGAAAATGAAATTGCTTTCAAAAGATAAACTGCCCTGGCCCTCGAGAGGCCCTCTCGTCCTCTCTCCTCATCCCCCCTTGTCTTCTCAAAAGGCTGGCAAGGATCTCTTTGTGGACCACAGCACAAGGGGGCTCTACGGAAAAAAGAGCTGCAGGAGTGAGGGAAGAGAAGAAGAGTGAAGTGAGAAAGATAGAGAGGAGCTGAGGATGGGTGGGTAGGGGGCCCCGGCTTGGAGTCTACACAAACCCCTATCCATCTTGTCTGCCCTCTATCTTCCACAGTACAGGGAGATGGATTAGCTGAGCTGGTGAATGTGTTGTGGGGGTGTGGGTCTGTCTGAGGAAGCCAACTGGTGATTTAGCTGGGGTGATTTAAAGAGGGAGAGTTTTTTTCTGTCAGCTGGCATCAAAATGCGTGTGTGTGTGCAAGCAGCAGAGGAGGATACAGTATGTTGAATGTATACTCAGTATGGGCAGGAAGGCTGTTATGAAATTACATAAAAGTATAAAAAGAAATAAATGAATAAAACACCTTTATGCTCTTATCCAGACTCTCGAGGGAGTTGATGTCCAGTCCCTCTTTGCAGGCCTGCAGACAGGAAATGACTTTCTGACTCTCGATCTTGCCCGGTCGGATGGTCAGTCCAGACAGGCTGCCCCGGAAGTACTGAGTGAACTGCGGCTTGGTCACCTCCCCACCTACACACAAAACAATACACACACATTTAGTAAATGAAGTTCATAAAATACCTTTTGGGATTACAGTTTTTCGAGGTTTGTGGGGACACTGCAGTTTTGGTGTTTTTGCACCCAACGTCACTTAGTTTTTAAATATGTGCACAAGAACACAATGCAGTGCTGCTCTATTTATGGGTCACACGAACTTTGTGTAGATAATCATGTTGTGGGTTAATCTACAGTAATTACCATGGTGTCATGTTTGTCTCTGCTGGTATGTGGCGTATACAAGTCCCTAACAAACTAACTATCATCAAACTAACAGTGCCCTTATCCACTCCCTAATTATGAGTCCTGATGACCAATCATGGCTATAATCAGCCTTAAGATGCAGGCTCTGTCTCCATTCTGTGACCAAGCGAAGGATACTGCTGTAAAAGTGTTTTCAGCCATACCATCGAGATAAAAGAAAAAAGTCAACACGTCTAAAGTATGTTCTCCAAACTCCGTAAAGGCCAATACCAGCAAGAGAAGTCTCCAAACCACTCATTAGCTGAAAGGTTACTAGCTCTAGGTATGAAAACTTCACCTTTACTTCCTCACTTTATCTTCCCTCTTCCTCCAACTCTGGCTGTAATCCACCAAAGCACTGACGCTACAGAAAAGTCGGTTCATTTAATAACATTTGTTCTATGAAAAAGAAATCCAGACTTGTGCACACACCAAGAACATTGTTACCGTGAAGTGAAGCAGTGACCGATGGGCAAAGATCTAGCTAAGGTGCCATGTCTCTCTATCAATATATCTGCCTCTTGTTGGAGGTAAGCAGTAAAAGAACATCCTGTACACACCTTTCTTAACCTCTCTACCTGGCTGGAGTATGACCGCTATTTGGAAAATGTAACAGTAGGGAAGAGACACATTCATTCCTTGAACCGGGTCATTTCAGTTGGTGACTGTCCAGTGACTGGAGATGGGGAAATCCTCAATTCAAAACCCCTTTTGGCTCCAGTTCATCAGACATTACCCGAGCTTGACCTAGCCCCTAATTCCCTGTGGACGATGCAGGCACACGTATCATCGGCGTAAGTGATGTATCCACGGCGTGAGAAGCTCATTCGGTGCAGGCGGAGAGACACAACTGACCACTACTGGAACTACTTTATCATGTCTTATTTTTTCCCGGGTGTGAAAATAGAAGAGAAATGAACCGCGACAAATGCAGACGTTCAATTTAGAATCATTGCTATATTTCTCTTGAAAGGGCGGATGGAAATACGGGGGGGAGCTATAAAACCTCTCAAGCCTAAACTCTTCCCCCTTTGCTGTGCCTTCCTTGTCATTACTCTCTTTGTTGCTCAGTCAGTATTTTCATTTTCCATTAATTTGGGTCTCGCCCCTTCAGCATGCATGTGTGGCAGCGTATGCCCTCATGCACCATGCTCCCAAATTACTGCAAGATTATATTTGAAGAAGCGAGCAGGAAACAGACTTCTTGATGTTTTTTTTCATATTTAGTTTTCTGTCTTAACAACAATTGACCTGTCACTAAACCCCTCTCCTGAGCCTGTCAGGCTTTGGACAGCTGCATTCAAAATTACAAGCAGAAAAATGTGAGGAAATGTGAGGAACGGCCCTGTGTGTTCATCTTAAGCTGCAAGCGTTGGCAGTGTATTAGCTTTACTTCCAAGGCCAAGAGTTATCATATCATCAAAATACATTTGTGGGGTTATAGATTATGTAAAAGCAGCAAAGTAGTAGTAAAGGATACCAGCGTAATTCTGTTTTTTTCAGGTCTTCTACACGTATAATTAACTGGCGAGGATGTCGATTTTCTTTATATATTTTAGCACAATATCATGAAGCCATCAAGTGCATATTCAAGACTCTTTACAGGATTCCTGTGCCAGAAAGAACATGTTTTCATGCAGATAAACAGTCTTTCTGTACGTCGGTAATAATGTGTCTTCTCTGAGTGGTATGGCTGGCAGCCCGTCATTGATTTATTCATTCAGTCAGCAATCTGCCCCGAATGTGAGTTACCCAGCTCTCGTTTCACTTCAACGTAACAACCACAGCTGCTTTGCATACTCCAAGCCAACATTAAAGTGCTTGCTGACACCCTGCCAGGTACCATGAGAGCACAGTCTATCTTACAAAACCACAAGATCACCTTTCTATGCACGTATTACAAACTATGCCAAACCCACTCTTTCCTTCTTTACGCTTCACCTGCTCTCCCGTCCTCAACTCAGTTACCATCTCCTTCCCTTATTCCCTCCCTCCCTCTAGATGTCCACCTATCCGCTCGGTCCCTCCCTGACAGATGTTATCAATTTAGGCCTTGGCCAGAGAACCCATTAAGGGGTCCCGGCGAGAGGAGAGGGGATTAGCGAGACGCTGCGGAGCGCGAATGATATGGGCGATAAAACCGCTGATCATTCCACTTCACGGAGAGGCCGGTTTCCTACGTGGTGTCAGCGCTATTTGCCCGCTCTGTGCAGCGCCCCTCGCTCAATAGATCTTCACTCTCCCTTTTCCTCGGCTCTATTTGCCTCATTTCCAAAACAGCAACAGATGAGGCATGGGTGAGCTGGAAATAGGGCCATTACTTAAGTGTAAGAGAGATAGTCTCTCACTTACTTTTTGATTTATTGTAACTGTACCTGTATCAGCGCCTGTGTGCCAGTGTTTAGTCATTCTACTGTACACACACAGATATTTACGGTTCAATTTGTGCCTGTGTGTAATCAACAGTACTTCTTCCTGCATGCTCGCCGCTGTGATGAGGGAGGCCAGCAGACTGTGATTACACGGGCAAAAAGAAGAACCAGGCGAGATGAGTGTGTTGCTCTCCGCTGCCTCGCTGTTACACACACTTCTGAAGATGAACACCCACCGCCAGGTCAGAGGGTAAATACAGGCTGACTGTGAGAAAACTGCACAGCCAGCACTTACTTCCAGAGGTGAAGGAAGAAGGATGGGCGGGGGGGGGGGCCAACCCTTCTATTAGAGAACAGGAGGAGAGTGAAATTGTGCAAATGCACGCTTCACAGACGGATAATTCACCGCTTTGTTGTTGCAGGAAGTCACACTAACAAGTTGTGTCTCATGCATTTTAATGAGCAACGCAATCTAGCAGTTTACCCGGATTGTTAACAATGTGACCACTAATGGGATGGGCCTTACATGCCTCCTGTGTGTATACTGTCTACTACTCTACGTGTTAGTTTCTGGGGATATCAGGGCCGTTGTACTTTCTGCACGAATGTGTTTGCAAGGTGTCCTGTGATCACTAACTTCTCCATGTGTTCATCTGCAGCGAGGATCAGAATGTCTGAGTGGATAATATCAATCAATCAATCAATCAAACTTGTATACACATCGGTACACACGCAAACAGTCACCTGTCTGCCCTGTTGTTGGCAAGGATTACTGTGTTTCACTCACTCTTTAACCGCTACAATACATGTAGTAGGATATACGGGAGGCTGCGTGATAAACCGATATCGGTCAGAGATGTCTGCCATCACACTACGCAGCCCTGTAGCTGGTCTGCTTTGCTTCCACACCAGAGTCCATTTGGAAGACACTCGATTGTTTAGTCTGCACCAGAGTTTGATCGACAGCTCTCACAACGGCCTAAACGAACCAGATCAAATTGTCAAACATACCAGAGCACATTTGAAACAGAACCAAACCCGTTGGCCCCCTCACAGACACGGACAGATGATGAAACTTACCCTCACCGCTGGGTGCAGAGGTGGAAAGTATAATTTGAGCTTTGCAGTAGCTCATTGCCGACAGTAGGCCTACAAAGTTCATTTAGGACGTACACTATCAAGAGACCATACTTTGTGGTGGTAGTCAAATCTTAAAATTTGATCTCATTTGACCACAAAAGTTCGATTTTTTTCTGATCAAAGTTCAAATAGCTTCTGAGGAAGTGCTTATTTTAGACCATCTTTAGACAACAACACCGCCCTCCTAATACAAACTGATTCATGTGTGCCAGCCACCTGCAGTGACAGTTTGAGGTTTAACTACAGCTTTTACAGAGTGAAGTATTGCCACGCCGCACTACAATGACCTCTTCGCATAAATATCTGTAATATCATCATTCTAAATTACGCTCATTTGCTTCGGTCGGGCAGAATGCATTTACATTGGATAATACTGACTGACCAGTTAAATGTTATGAACCGTGAAATTATATCATGAAATTTAATTAAATATGGCAAATCTATCACAGTTGTTTGCAGTCATACTGTTTGGAGCTTACAGATCTCTTTTAGTTTACTCTGCCATCCGTTCGCATTGTCCCGTCTGAACCCTACAAATTACAGTTTGATGTTTATCTGCGAAGCCATTCAGCAGCGTGACAGAAAGCAGAGATGAACCCACCACATCCTCTTCAGCGCTGCTCTGAAAACACACTTCAGCAGCCGGTTAGACAATGAATGAGCTCATCTTTGCAACATGTTTGCAATCAACATGCCGGGCACTTAGACGCTCAGTGCTTTGAAAAGGCAATCTGTTGAGGCTAATGGCTTTTGTTAAGATTTCAGAATCACCTTAACAACTCTTTGCTGAGGCTTAGCCAACACCTAGAAAAAGCAGGTCTCGTCTCTGAACTCTCTCTTCTATTCAAGGCACTTTTAATCCTCCTAAAGCCTGGTGTTCAATGAAAGAACTGGGTGGGCAGGAGGAGGAGGAGGAGGAGGAGGAAGCAGATGAAAGCTAGCCACATGACCTGCTCCTGCTCCCGCACAAAAAAATATCTTGACTCTTTATCTGGGGGTTAAGCATCACTGAGCCGTCTCATTCGGGCTATCAAATCAACGGTAAGCTGCACTGAGCGAAAAAAAGTGCCATTTATTCTACCCTCGCGCAATTAGTGGCAGCTATCAGTTCAGAGGACAGTGAAATTGTCCGCCTTCATTCAGGTGGGTTCAATCGTTTGTCAAAGGCACACTAAGTGCTCTTCTTAATTGCTCATTCAAGGCCAAAGAACATGTTCGACACTCAGCGAGTCCCCTAGCAATAGTGTTATTCATATCCTTGAACTCGCTCACACGTAGAAGCTATATTCAATCAGCAGACTACCAAATACACCTCATCTATTATGTTAAACTTTTGTGTCAGTCGCAGGCTTTTCCCTGTTTCATTGGCTCCATCATCACCCCCATTGGCATCATCATCATCATCATTGTCAGCGCTGCCCGCTCACCTTGCCAGCAGGCGCCGACCGTGAGCTGCACGTCAATCTGTGTCGGGTGGATGGGCCAGTCGTCAGTCACCAGGTAGGGGTCGTAGGTCACTCCGTCCACGTAGAGGGTCACCACTGGGAACTCTACGTTGATGACGTAGTAATGCCACTCCTTGTCACAGATCTGTCAGGGAGAGAAGACGAGAGTGTCATGAATGGATATGTGGTCGTCAGCTCAGATAGTCATACATGTTATGTAACACTTAGCTGCTGAGGTTAGCTCATTTTTAAGACATAGTTTGACACTTTGGGAAACAAATGTATTTGCTGTCGTCATTCTGCAACAGCCAGCAGTTCGGTTAGCTTAGCATAAAGATCTGATCAGATCTGATCTCATCCATAAACTACCAAATGAACAATTTAATATGATCTGAGCATAACTTTCAGCTCTGTTAGATATAGTGGTTCATCATCAGGTAAAGAAAAACAGGAGAAGCACATAAACTATGTTGGAGATAACAGACTGTCTTTCTGTCTGTCTCTGAGAACATCTGTCTCTCCGTTCTCTTTCCCCAGCGCTCTTCGGGCCGTATACTTCCCCTCTTCCTCTCAGCTCCTCCAATGTAACCCGGGACAGCCTTTGAGCACTTAGCCTTGGGTAACCTCCCTCTCTAATGAAGAGCGTTCTGCTTATTAACACCGTGCTAGCCCAGCAGATGGGCGCTCTAATCAATCCGGTTCACTTTTGCTGCTGTTGATGTGCGAGATACAACATCTGGCCTATTGGTGATCATCCCGCACAGCTGCTTAACACATATGCAGCATGTCGATGCGCTGTGTCAGCGCTCAGAATCAACGGGGGGATAATCTGATCGTGGATTTGATGGTGCTGCAGAAGTGATTGATACTGATAGGATTGGCTTTGATCGGCTAGTTAGGATGTCAGGACATGTGTAACATGTACATAAAGGGCAATCCTATTCTTTGTGTCTACAAGTCGGTTTATATACGATTTCAAATGTGTCTTGAATGCATTACACTCTTGCTCGTAGTCTTTAACGTGTCTGTTCTTCAATTTGGTTACATCTCATTACTAATGTGCCAAGTTTAAAACATTCACATGAACACACACTAATCCCTCTGACATTTACAAATGCAGACCGTCCCCTCCCATGCTCTACCGCTTCTTCCCTGTTTTCGCCCGTTCGGTATTTCAAAGAGAGCTCGGGCCCGTAGGGGATCTGTCTAGTGGGTGACTTCCCCATGCAGGCTTCAAAGGGCAGAGGGCCAGGCGGTCTTGCCCGAGAGAAGGCTGCTTCTGCCGGGCTGGGATGTCTGTTGGTGATCTCTCTCAGGGAGCAGGAGGGAGATAATTATGTAGCCACACATGTCAGTACTACGTTGTAAAGCAGAGTAAGAGCTTGCGACTATGGGATAAGACTAACAGTTGTACTTGAAGACCGATTTGAATACCAGTGTTCTTCGTGCTAAGCTGCTGATGTCTCATATCTAGTGTGAATTTGGGTTGTCGGAGATATTGGCTGGTTGACTCATATGATTTCTTGTTGAGGCAGCCCACAAAAGAAACCTGTTAGTCTTATTTCACAGTTTGTAATGATTTGTTTGTCATGATATGTTCCCTTTAAGGTAGTGTAAAAGTAATTTTGCAACAATAGACAATTGGCAACGTCTAATACTAGCTGTCACTGAGGTACTGCTGTTCTTAATAGCTAAACCCTCCTGACTAAGCCTGACAGACAAAGTATGACACAGACTTATAAATTAAGCTTAGGTACACTACGCAAAATCCTGCCCACAAGCTGAGTGAAAGGGCTGCTATACAGATATTTGATGTAGGTAGCAGCATGGCTCTACTGTCGCCATCAGGTCAAACTCTACATGTTTTGCCCAAGTGACTCCATTTTACAGAGAACCAGAAGCCCGGGAAACATTCTTTATCTAGTTTGCACGAGATAAAACGGATCACGCGTGAAAAAGATAATATGTTGTGCACTCCAAGTTATTTTTCTCCACACCTTTATATCTTTTGGCTAGAAGATATAAAAACATAATCTTTCAGGACTTCGGGGACTCCGTGTTATCTTGTGCACAAGATATTAGATCTATCTTCTGCACACAAGATATGGATCTTGTTATAAAAAAGCAGCTCAGATACATTTAAAATAGCAAAGATTGCAAAGAATACCACTTAGACAATTCATTGATAGTCAGGTTAAAAGAAAGTCTTCACTTTCAGTCCACAGTGATATTTAGAGTTGTTGTTGTAGGCAACACAAAAGTTCGGCATCTTGTCAGAAACACACGATTAGAGCTTGAGAGAACAGGTGCACCGCTATGCATGGGAAGACGCCAGCTGGACACAGATGGAGAATCTTTGCTGTGTGTGTGTGTGTGTGTTTACTGTGTGTGTGTGTGTGTGTGTGTGTGTGTAGAGGGTGGAATCAGTGTCCATTACAAAACCTCGGACTGGAAGTAACTCAGAGAACCATCCACCATGCCACAAGCTCAAAGCTATACACTACTGACTGCGAGTGTGTGCACATGTGCACACAGGGGCTTGCGTCTGTCTGAGAAAGAGCAAGGCAGGAATTCCGCAAGGATTCACCACTTGTAATAACACCTACCCACTAACAGGGATGAATACATGAATGCACAGACATCAATCCAGCACCATTAAGTGTCAACTTCAAACACTTCAAAGCTCCAAAAGTTAAAGTTCAGCTCTGGCTTGCCTTGCTTATGAAAGCAGAGCAAAAAGTTTTTCTATTCCCCAATCCCTCCACTTTCCTGTGTCTCTGGCTGATGCAAATTGACAGACGGAAGGAATGAAGGAAATAAATAACCACACAAACAGAGAAGAGGGAGGATGTGAAACAACCAGAGGACAAAGAAAAGAAAGCGAAAGAGGGAGTGAGCGAGGTAGAGAACGGAAACATCACACATCAAAGATCCTTCATCATCTCTTGGGGCACTCCATGGCGAGAAGAAAAACAAAATTGCTATCTGCCTCCCTCCATCTCACTCTCTCTTTCTCTCTGCAGTTTATTTGGTGTCTTTTCTTCTTCTCCTGTCTCTCTATTAGAACCTGACTGTGGGAGTTGTTGCCTCAAGTCCTTTGGAGTTGAAAGTCTTTAAGAGATCTGTCACCCAATCCAACCTTCTAACTTCAAACCAGAGATGGAGGAACGAGATAGGAGCGGTAAAAGAATGGGGAGAGAGGAGGCGATCTGAGATCGGAAGGTGGCAGGGCGGAGAGATGATAGCGAGGGAGGGTGGAGATGAAAGGAAGCGAGGGGGGGAAAAGAGACGACGGAGGGGAATAAAGGGTAGAAGAAAAGACCTAAAGAAGAAAGTGTTGCCTCGTGGAGCAACTTGCAAGGCTGTAGATTGTTAGCGTTGTTTATTTTCATCACGACAGGGTGGAAGGCATGAGAGCATGCAGCCCAACTATGTCCTATTGCTGTGTAGCAAGATGAACCTTGTAAAAATCATTTGGAATCAGTTAAATATTTGATACCCAGGTTGAGGAGATTGTAAGCTTACTTGTTTTGCTAATTTTTCATTAGATTGTTATCAGATGTACTCGTGAGTAATTTAGGAACGACCAGACAAAGAGAGTGTGCTGTGCCCGTAAACACAAGGTTATTCTGAGCATCGTCGTGTAGGAGAGGGAGGGACAGATGGAGGAAAGAGGAAGTAGAAGAGGTGGAGGGAGTTAGGAGGAGGAGGAGGAGGAGGAGGAGGAGGGGGGTGCCTGTAGGGCCTGCTGGAGGAAGGATCCACAACAGAGATTGATGAGCATTGGAAACAAGGTGACTTTAAGGAGGGGGGGGGGGGGGGGGGGGAGCAATGAGAAAGTTGCTCCAGAGGCAAAGTGAAAGCAGAGGTGTAAACTGAAGTGATTGGTTTGGCTGGGGGGGTTATTGGATGTAAGGGTACCAAACAAAGCTGGAAACGATGATCAGTGCAAAGGGGCATCACTGCCACTACACGTTTGGTGCCATTAGGATCAATTCAATGACTTTGATGTTGTAACTGTTTCGTAGGCGCATCAGGAAAAGGATACTTTCACATTCATATGAGAAAGAAATGGACCCATATGAAGAAAACATTTTAAAAATATTGCAGAATCTGACAATTTATATATGTAAAATGTAGCTCAGTGGTTAGCTGCCACAGGAGAGCCATGGTGTCCTGGTGGGAGTTGTTTGTTCTCGAGGTGCTCTAGTTTCATTGCCTCCCAAAATATATAAATAATAGAAGGCGCAGACACTCTTGCCACTGTCCTTGACCAAGACTGTGGCCTTGAACAAGATTTAAATCACTCTGAGATGATCAATGATTTGGTTTATAAAAAGATGCATTCTAAAAAGGATGTGCCATGTTACTATACAGAGGCTCCACCCTTCCATCTTCATTTCATCAACTTTTAATTCTTTACAATATTTAAAAAAATATTGGTTAATAGCAGACCACCTCAAGGTGTCACTCAGAGAGAACCAGAACATTCTGATGTAGCATTTCAAAATTAAAGCCCTTCAAAATCTCATTCATGAGCTAACTTCAAATCATATTCACGAGCCAATTTGGACGTGGGGTTAAGTTGGATTCGACCCCTTCTGAAGGCCGTAGGGACTCGAAACTGGTACCACTCCATTTTCAAAGCAATGTGCAACAGTTTGAAGCTTTGGACCAGCAACACACCTGTAATTATATTTCTTAAATGTGATAATCGATCATTTGAAAACTCTTAACTCCACCTCAAAGAAAACAAGTTCTACATTTTGTGAATTATTAAGAATTACAAATAACAGGTTGTATCTTTTTTTTTAAATTTATTCATACACAAAACAGTGTTTACTCGGGGTCATGTGCAGACTATTTCTTGGCTGGGATCAGTGGCTTCTGTGTTTGTCCGTCACATGTTAGAATCATTAGCACATACAACAGAGTCATGGGGCAGAAAGACGCTCCAGTAATGCATAATCAGGAATTCCACTGTATTTCTTGGCAAACCGACCCCGTGGAGCTGGTTGAGGCAGAGATGATTAAGGTTAAGGTTCAGCATTGACCTCGAGTAGTTAGGGTCAGGATAGGCTATAGGACCTGAACAAATCGGGTCACCGGTACCTCAGCAGTTGAATGCTACGCAGGGCGGGTCTT